TACTACGTGCCCCCAAAATGCCCTTTTCACCTAACCATTCACTCGTTTATTATACCCCACCCATGCATTTGTGCTTTGGGGGTCAACTGCAGCAATACACCTAAAGCCAATAAATCAAACAAAAGCTGCAATAAGAATAATCATAATTCCCATCCCTGGGAACAAATCCCCCCCCCCCCCTCTTAATGATCTAAACGTCCCGTTTGAACATCCACACTTACTACCGTGAATCTACATATACGGGCCTTAAAATTCCAATATTTAAACCCTTGACCTAAATGCTTTCTTGATAGTTGTGACAGACCACGGCTAAAACCGACACAAACATTTTTCGACATTCCCCGTGTTCCCAAACCTTTACAAAAATCAATGATGTCAAGGGTCTAAAATCGGAACACCCACCGAAAAATCTAGAAAGCAGAAAATTATCCCCTTCAAAACACTGTAGAAAAACATCTCACTCCCTAACAAACCCCTCAAACTAATACATAAAAACCCCTGGTTCCACATTTTCTTACCCATTTTTACTATAAGCACAGAAATAATATCCTAATCTTAAAATAATGATTTCCAAACTAGTCTAAGTTTGCCTGTGATACCCTTATAGAAAATTTTTGTTTTCAAAAAGAAGGCATTCACATTTCTAAACTCACAACTAGTATTTGTCACTTTGTATTTGTCATTAGTATTTTGTCAATTACTCCACAATTTTTTTATAATTTAGGGTTAAGAATTTAAACTAAGTTTGCCCAAATGCCTAGCCATGCTAGGGGTTCTAGGGCTCCCCCTTTTATTATTTTTTTTTAATGTAAACACACATAAAACCCAAAAACTGTAAACCCCCATTGTAATCTTATCTTACGTTTAAAACACCCCTGTCCAAGACAACTTGCGTGTCCGACACTAGCACCGTCTGGGGGGCCCGCTGACTAAGTCCTGTCGGCCCTCAGGAAACTAAGTCCATGTTCCAAATCAAAATGTGAAGCCTGCTAAAAATAAATTGTATGAGGTCTTCACTCTCATGAGTTGTCAGAAACAATATTTGTGAGCCCGTGAATGAGGCCCTCGGTAATGAGGCGTCAGACTCAGTGAGCTGTGGTGAAAACCCCTCCTTCAAGGCCTAGATTACACCATAAGGTGGTCTGGGAAAACGCTTCTAAGGTCGGTCGCTCCCCACATTGGGTTTGATGACATACCCCTGGTGCTGCGGCCGGGAGGTTAACAATCTAACAGTAGTTTGGAGGAGGCCCCACGTAAATAAATCCAGCTGCCCTCAAATACCTTTCCCCCGACTGTTTCTACTATATACCCAATAAAGGGGGAACCCCAAAAAGTTGTCAATAGTAAGTGTTCTCATGATGTATTCAAAAAAATAAGCAGGTTAAACCCAACAAAAGCACGGGCCCTGAAATCCCGTCTAAGTTCCTAAAAGATGGTACTTCTGGAATTGTCAATTTCCATTGCTCACATAATAAATTTGTTATCACCCCTTTACCCTCCGGGGGGGTTCAAGGAGGCCAGAGTTACTCCTCTCTCAAGAAAAATAGTAGGTTTATGTAACAACTTGGCCCGTTAGCATACCAGTATAATTTCAAAATTTCTGAAGGGGGAGTGTACTGTCAAGTAGTTAAGTCCCTTTAAAACAACGATTTTCCAACCTATCAATTGGGCTTTAGAAGATCTTACTCAACCGACACCTCCCTAATTAATCTGATGGATTACTTGAGAATTGAAATGTCAATGGGGAACTTCATAGGTATGGTAACCTTAGACCTGCAAAAGGCCTTCGATTACTGTCAACCACAATATATTATGTAAGAAGCTTCAAGCTATCAGTATAGGTTCTGTAGGCTAGTTTAAATCCTACCTTAGCAACAGGGGACAAATTGTCAAAATCAACAAAACGGAATCAGAACCCCTGCCGATAGCATGTGGAGTTTCCCAAGGTAGCACAGTATTCTGGGTCCCTTATTATTCCTATGCTATGTTAACGACATGCCTATCAGTGTCAAGTGCAAACTCCTACTGTATGCAGATGACAGTGCTCTGTTAGTTTCGGGTAAAGACCCACAAGATATAGCTAATGTATTAACACTGGAGTTGGAGTCCTGCAGCAAATGGTTAGTAGACAACAAACTATCATTACACCTCGGGAAAACTGAAGCCATTCTCTTTAGCATGAAACATAAACTGAGAAGGGTAAATAATTTTAACGTTACTTCAGTTTCCTCAGTAAAATATCTGGGAATCCCCTTTGACCCATGCATGTCAGGAGAATTGATAGGAAACAGTGTAGTAAAGAAAGTGAATGCCAGACTGAAATTCCTTTGTAGACAAGCACAGTGTCTACCTACTGAGGCTCACAGGAACCTGTGTCTAGCCCTTATGCAGTGTCATATAGATTACGCTTGATCTTCAGGGTACTTTGCCTTGACACAAAAACTGAAAGATAGACTGCAAATCACCCAGAACAAAATGGTAAGATTCATCCTGGACCTGGGTCCAAGAGAGCATGTAGGCCAGGATGAATTACAGCAGCTGGATATGCAGAATGTTGAAGACAGAGTAGAACAACCGAAGCTAAATCATGTTAATAAAATGGCTCACAAACATTGTCCAGAATATCTTGCTGCCAATTTTGTCAAGGCTGGGAACCAAAGCAGTCATAGTACTAGGGGAAGAGAGCACAACTTTGTAGTACCCACAGTCAGTGGCCAGGCTTCAAACACCTTTATTGTACAGCAATAAAGGAATGGAACAGACTGCTCGCACATGTCAAAGCCAGTTATAGCATGAACCAGTTCAAGAAGAGTGCCAAAAGGTGTATGATGAATGTAGCTACAGAAAGGGAGGGGAATGATTTTTTATTTTTTTTAGCTAACACACGTGTAATTTTACCTTATTCCTAGTAATGACCCTCATTTTGTAGATAGTCTTAATGACCCTCGTGTAGTAGATATTCTTTTTAGTATGATAATAAGATGTTATCTCCATTGTAGAATAATAATAAAATATTATAATCTTGATATTATAATAATAAGGTAAAAGGACCCCAATAGAAATAAGTCACTCTGTCTGACTTTTTTGGGTTATCCTAGGTACTTTACACATATGCTGCTATGTATGATAATCTATGTAACTGTATTTGTGTATACCTGCATAAACTTACTTATTCTTAGAAATTGAGAATACATTTACCGTCTTCCATGACTCAGTCGCCCAGTTTCAGTGGATGTGTTGAAGATTGTTGTTAGAGGCACACACAGCACCTCTGCTCCCTCTCTAAGGACCCACAAAGAGATGTTGTCCAGTCCCACTGCCTTTGAGGTATCAAGCTCACCTAGCAGCTTCACCTCCTCCTCAGTTGTGTGTATTTCATCCAGCACTTGTTGGTATATTCCTTGATGGTGTACTCCCCTAATCTGACTTCCCAGAGTCCTTTCTGTCTTCACTGTAAATCTTTAAATCTCATGTTGAGCTCCTCACATATTTCATGGTCGTTTCTTGTGAGCTCCCCAGCTTCCTTCCTCAACCTGATAACCTGGTCCTTGACTGTTATTTTCCTCCTGATGTGGCTATACAACAGCTTCAGGTCAGACTTTACTTTAAATGCTATGTCATTTTCATATTGTTGCTGGGCCTTCCTCCTCCTTATCTGTGCATTTTTGTTTCTGGCTCTTCAATTAATCTCTATTTTCCTGGGATCTTTGTCTTCTACAGTTTTTCCATCCTCTAGCACACTTAGTTTTTGCCTCCCTACACCTTTGGGTGAACCAAGGGCTCGTTCTGGTCTTCCCATTATTTCTGTTGCCATTGGGAACATCCCTCTTCTCTGCCTCCTTGTATTTTGTTGTCACATAGTCCATTATTTCATTTAGTGATTTCCCTAACAATTCTCTTTCCCACTGAACCTCTAGCAGGAAGTTCCTCATGCCTGTGTAGTGCCCCCTATTGTAGATTGGCTTTTCCCATCCTCTTACTGTTACCCTCTCCATTTGTAATTCTACTGTGTATTCAAAGCTTAGAACCACGGGATCACTAGCTCCAAGGGGGCCTTTCATTTATGACTTGCTCAATGTGCGAACTACTCAAGGTGAATACGAGGTCCTCAACTCTCTCTTTCTGGTAGTGTCCCTAACATATTGATGCATGAGGTTTTCCAGTACCACATCCATCATCTTGGCTCTCCATGTTTCAGGACCCCCATGTGGCTCCAGGTTTTCCCAGTCAATCTCCTTGTGATTGAAATCACCCATAACCAGTAACTTTGCTCTACCTGTATGAACTCTTCTGGCCACCTCAGCCAATGTGTCCACTTAATGTTGCTCTTCGTATTCTTCTCTTGGCCTCCTGCAGTTCTGTGACAGGTTGTACATCAAAGCAATTACCACCCTAGGGCCCCCAGACTGAATTGTTCCTATGTAATCCTTTTTTCTAATTCCATCCACTCCTTCCATTTCCTCAAATCCCCATTGGTTTTTAATGAGCAGTGCAACTTCTCTACCCCCTCTGCTCCCTCTTATCTTTCCTCTGGAACTGATATCTGGTTGGGAAGATTGCATCTGTTATCATCCCAATGAGTTTAATTTCAGTGAGTGCTGTGATGTCTGGGGATGTCTCCTTGATTCTTTAATGCCACTCCTCACATTTATTTGTTGTTCCTCTTGCATTCATGTGTAATCACCTAATTTCAGTTGCAGGAGTCGAGTCACAGCTCCTGGTGTGTGTTTGCATGTGTCTTTGTGTGTGCATGCATGTGGGCATATGTGTGTGAGTGTGCATGTTTGTGCATATGTATGCACATGTGTTTGCATGTGTGTGTGTGTTTGCGTGTGTGTGTGTGTGTGTGTGTGTGTGTGTGTGAGAGAGAGAGAGACACACAGAGAGAGATAGAGACAGACAGACAGATGGATGGATGGATATTGACTGATTAATTGATTTTACTATAAAATAAATGTTGTCTAATCATGTATGTACAGTGTATGTATATCTATTTTCAGCTGGATCTTGATAGCATTTGGACGTTTGTTTTTGGTGTGCCAGCCAGCCAGTGTGCAACAACAATATCTGGCCGTGTCTCTCTGTGCCCTGAAGCAGCCATTGGTATTCTAGCCATGGTGCGTGCCATGCTCAACCAAGAGGAAAAAGGGTTTGTCAAAAATTTAAGTTTTTGGCATGCTTGCATGTTTATTTATTATGTATTCTCCTGCAATCTCGTGACTGTTTTATAACCATTTTATATTATGGTATTTTAAGAAAGAGCAAAACTAATTATTTTAGAAAAAAATGTTTTGTAAAATGTTTATTTTACTTGTAGACCTGTAATTCCCTGTTATGAGTGAGTGATGATAATTAAAATATTAACCACATTTAATATGTTTTAGTTGTGATAAGTTGATAATGAGTGTTTTGTGTGTAGATAATACAGTATGGTGGTGATGCTGTAACATAACACTTGTGTCTGGGTAATCAGCATGAATTATTAAGGGGTGATTACAAAGTAGAGCTCTTGTTCTGTAGTTTCCAAATCTATGTATTCCATGAGAGATTAACCCTTCGACTGTTTCGGTCGTACAGTGGTCCCTCAATAATCATCCGGCCTGAAAGTCGTCCATTTCAGAATAGTCTCGTTATTTCGTCTAAACATTGGCTCGCAAATGGTCTATTAACTCGCTAATCGTCTTTCATCCGGGATGCGTACTCACGGCTCTGAGCCGCCTCGGCCTCCCTTCCCTGCCAGTGTGCCATTGTTTACCATTGAGCGACGGTCCCCTCACATGTTCATACGATTTTTTTTTTTTTTTTTTTTTTTTTTTTTTTTTTTTTTTTTTTTTTTTTTTTTTTTTTTTTTTTTTTTTTTTTTTTAACAAGTCGGCCGTCTCCCACCGAGGCAGGGTGACCCAAAAAAAAGAAAGAAAATCCCCAAAAAGAAAATACTTTCATCTTCATTCAATACTTTCACCACACTCGCACATTATCACTGTTTTTGCAGAGGTGCTCAGGATACAACAGTTTAGAAGCATACACATATAAAGATGCACAACATATCCCTCCAAACTGCCAATATCCCAAACCCCTCCTTTAAAGTGCACGCCTTGTACTTCCCATTTCCAGGACTCAAGTCCGACTATATGAAAGTAACTGGTTTCCCTGAATCCCTTCACTAAATATTACCCTGCTCACACTCCAACAGATCGTCAGGTCCCAAGTACCATTCGTCTCCATTCACTCCTATCTAACATGCTCACGCACGCTTGCTGGAAGTCCAAGCCCCTTGCCCACAAAATCTCCTTTACCCCCTCTCTCAACCCTTTCGAGGACAACCCCTACCCCGCCTTCCTTCCCCTATAGATTTATATGCTTTCCATGTCATTCTACATTGATCCATTCTCTCTAAATGACCAAACCACCTCAACAACCCCTCTTCTGCCCTCTGACTAATACTTTTATTAACTCCACAACCTTTTCCTAATTTCCACACTCTGAATTTTCTGCATAATATTTACATCACACATTGCCCTTAAACAGGACATCTCCACTGCCTCCAACCGTCTCCTCGCTGCTGCATTTACCACCCAAGCTTCACACCCATATAAGAGTGTTGGTACTACTATACTTTCATACATTCCCTTCTTTGCCTCCACAGATAACGTTTTTTGACTCCACATATACCTCAACGCACCACTCACCTTTTTTCCCTCATCAATTCTATGATTAACCTCATCCTTCATAAATCCATCCGCCGACACGTCAACTCCCAAGTATCTGAAAACATTCACTTCTTCCATACTCCTCCTCCCCAATTTGATATCCAATTTTTCTTTATCTAAATCATTTGACACCCTCATCACCTTACTCTTTTCTATGTTCACTTTCAACTTTCTACCTTTACACACATTCCCAAACTCATCCACTAACCTTCGCAATTTTTCTTTAGAATCTCCCATAAGCACAGTATCATCAGCAAAAAGTAACTGTGTCAATTCCCATTTTGAATTTGATTCCCCAAAATTTAATCCCACCCCTCTCCCGAACACCCTAGCATTTACTTCCTTTACAACCCCATCTATAAATATATTAAACAACCATGGTGACATTAAACATCCCTGTCTGAGACCTACTTTTACCGGGAAGTAGGCTCCCTCTCTACTACACACCCTAACCTGAGCCTCACTATCCTCATAAAACTCTTTACAGCATTTAATAACTTAACACCTATTCCATATACTTGCAACATCTGCCACATTGCTCCTCTATCCACTCTATCATATGCCTTTTCTAAATCCATAAATGCAATAAAAACTTCCCTACCTTTATCTAAATACTGTTCACATATATGCTTCAATGTAAACACTTTATCTACACATCCCCTACCCACTCTGAAACCTCCTTGCTCATCCGCAATCCTACATTCTGTCTTACCTCTAATTCTTTCAATTATAACCGTACCGTACACTTTTCCTGGTATACTCAGTAAACTTATTCCTCTATAATTTTTACAATCTCTTTTGTCCCCTTTCCCTTTATATAAAGAGACTATACATGCTCTCCGCCAATCCCTAGGTACCTTCCCCTCTTTCATACATTTATTAAACAAAAGTACCAACCACTCCAACACTATATCCCCCCCTGCTTTTAACATTTCTGTCATGATCCCATCAGTTCCAGCTGCTTTACCCCCTTTCATTTTACGTAATGCCTCATGTACCTCCCCCACCCTTACATTCTGCTCTTCTTCACTCCTAAAAGATTGTATACCTCCCTGACCAGTGCATGAAATTACTGCCTCTGTTTCTTCCTTAATATTTAAAAGTTCCTCAAAATATTCTCGCCATCTGCCTAATACCTCCATCTCCCCATCTACTAACTCCCCTACTTTGTTTTTAACTGACAAATCCATACTTTCCCTAGGCTTTCTTAACTTGTTTAACTCACTCCAAAATTTTTTCTTATTTTAATTAAAATTTCTTGACATGCCTCTCCCACTTTATCATCTGCTCTCCTTTTGCACTCTCTCACCACTCTCTTTACCTTTCTTTTACTCTCCATATACTACTCTGCTCTTCTTATAATGCTTCTGCTTTGTAAAAACCTCTCATAAGCTACCTTTTTCTCTTTTATCACACCCTTTACTTCATCATTCCACCAATCACTCCTCTTTCCTCCTGCCTCCACCCTCCTATAACCACAAACTTCTGCCCCACATTCTAATACTGCATTTTTAAAACTATTCCAACCCTCTTCAACCCCCCAACTACTCATCTTTGCACTAGCCCACCTTTCTGCCAATAGTCGCTTATATCTCACCCGAACTTCCTCCTCCCTTAGTTTATACACTTTCACCTCCCTCTTACTTGTTGTTGCCACCTTCCTCTTTTCCCATCTACCTCTTACTCTAACTGTAGCTACAACTAAATAATGATCCGATATATCAGTTGCCCCTCTATAAACATGTACATCCTGGAGCCTACCCATCAACCTTTTATCCACCAATACATAATCTAATAAACTACTTTCATTACGTGCTACATCATACCTTGTATATTTATTTATCCTCTTTTTCATAAAATATGTATTACTTATTACCAAAAATCTTTCTGCACATAGCTCAATTAAAGGCTCCCCATTTACATTTACCCCTGGCACCCCAAATTTACCTACTACTCCCTCCATAACATTTTTACCCACTTCAGCACTGAAATCCCCAACCACCATTACTCTCACACTTGATTCAAAACTCCCCATGCATTCACTCAACATTTCCCAAAATCTCTCTCTCTCTCCTCTACACTTCTCTCTTCTCCAGGTGCATACACGCTTATTATAACCCACTTTTCACATCCAATCTTTATTTTACTCCACATAATCCTTGAATTAATACATTTATAGTCCCTCTTTTCCTGCCATAGCTTATCCTTCACATTATTGCTACTCCTTCTTTAGCTCTAACTCTATTTGAAACCCCTGACCTAATCCCATTTATTCCTCTCCACTGAAACTCTCCCACCCCCTTCAGCTTTGTTTCACTTAAAGCCAGGACATCCAGCTTCTTCTCATTCATAACATCCACAATCATCTCTTTCTTATCATCTGCACAACATCCACGCACATTCAGACTTCCCACTTTGACAATTTTCTTCTTCTTATTCTTTTTAGTAATCTTTACAGGAAAAGGGGTTACTAGCCCATTGTTCCCGGCATTTCATACAAAATATTTTATAATATTCCATTTCAAACTTTAAAAAACTCTACACCAAAGCAATGTTTGAAAGGTGCTTTAATGTGACCTCAGACACTCACTGGACCCTAAGAGATTTTTGGAAAGAATACTTCAGTATTCTCCATTGCATAAGCCTTATAGGTAAGGCTTGGGAGGGAGTGACTACCAGGACTTTGAACTCTGCTTGGAGAAAATTGTGGCCAGATTGTGTCCACAAGAGGGATTTTGAAGGGCTTGTGGCTGACCCTGATGAGCCTATGTCAGTTGTGAACTCTATTGCAGCATTGGGGAGTTCCATGGGGTTGGATGTGACTTTGGAGGATGTGGAAGAGTTGGTGGAGGACCACAATGAAGAGCTAACCACTGAGGAGCTGCAAGAGCTTCAGCAGGAAGAGCAACAGATCGCAGCTCAGAATCTTGCTGCAGAGGAGGAGGAAGAGAGATGGAAGAAGGTGCCTTCTTCAGAAATTAAGGAGATTTTTGAAATGTGGGGTAGGATAGAGAGATTTATCGAGAAACATCACCCTGAGAAGGATGTTGCAAGCCATGTCGGCAACTTGTACAGTGACAGTCTTGGCCCATTATAGGGAAGTTTTAAAGAGATGCCAGAAACAGACCTCTCTGGACAGTTTTTTTGTGAGACATGACTCCAGTGACTCTCAAGGTGGTCCTAGTGGCATTAAGAAACAGAGAAGTAACCCCAGAAAAGGTGCCTAAGGTGTTGATGGAAGGAGATTCCCCTTCCAAACAGTAATTCAATGTCTCTCCTCCTCCAGTCTTCCATACACTAAGAAGAATCGCCAATAAAGGTAAGTGTTATGCTGTTAATGTTTCATTCATCATGTGCCATTGTATTATGTATTACATCTATATTTCATGTAAAAAATTTTTTTGTTTTAATACTTTTGGGTGTCAGGAACGGATTAATT